TATTACCAATGTAATGTGATCATGATATTCATCTAGACAAAAATAGTTAATATGAAGTTAATTTACATTAGGTCTACCATGGAGCCCAAGAATTATAGCACCATTAGAAGTATTCTGAAGAAAGAACAAGGTGAAAAAATTGCTCCTTATATTTTCAAATTAAGTGATACTCAGACACTGGAAACTTATCTAAGAAAAGAAAAGATTACCTATGAAATTTACCAAGAAGAAAGAAAAATAATAAATGTTGGAAAAAGAAAACATCATGATGATGCATTATTACCTAACAAAAAGCAAAAATCATCAGAAGGAAAATAATCTTATTACAATTTTGATTTATTTTTTCCTTTTAATTCTAAAGTTGTCTTTCAAAATTCTAGATTAAAGTTGGTGTCAGTAACTGATTTGAAATTCTGCAACTGGTTGCAACATCCTGGGTTGCTGAACTAAAAGCAATTTTTTTTAAACAGGGGTTTTTAATTAAAAGCCACTTATTTTATCATTCAATTTCATATTGTAATATTTTATCCCATATAAACAAAAACGTGACCTGCATATAAACAAATCAATGATAATTCTACTCTCAGAGTTACAAGGCAAAGATTTTCTATATAGATAGACGAGTATTTAAATACAGTGCAGATCATCTATACTCAAAAGTTAAAAAATTTGAAATATTATGTGATACACACGTCAGATTTTAAATAAACCACCACTATTCAATTCAGTTTTAAAAATGGAGTAAATTCATACAAAAAAAATTTTGTCTCAAATTTTCTTTTCATAGATTTTTTAAATTCGAGAGTTATGCTCAGAAATGCAATAATAATTTTCGTGTTACAATATTTGTGAATTACATGACCAAATTTGGGAATGATTTTCTTTTAATAAAATATGTTCGTTAAACTTTTTTATTGTAAAGACTTTTATCTATTAATAAACCAATATATTGATATGTTGTAACTAAAAAAATTTGTTACACATAATTTACTTAAGTCTCAATTTCTTAAGTGTATAACAAAATTTGAATTTTTAAAATGCTAAGGCTTAGCCAATTTTTAGTTTAAGAAAAATCTAGCCGATAAGTTTTGAAGCTTGAGTCATGAACAATAAAACTTATCAGTTAACTTTTTTAATATGATATAAAATTTTTTTGTTTTGGTATTTTGAAGCCAGCCAATTTTTACTATAAGCAATTAATGGTTATAGATGATCTGCACCATAAGAAAAATAGCAAAAGTTACACATCAACTTTTCATTTTATTAATATAGTAATACAGTGCAGGACACCTAATCCCGCAACATGATGACGAATTTTGGGAAAAAATTTCCATTCAAAAATGCAATAAAAATTGTTTTGTCATGTGATATTTCCTAGTCATTCCATAAATAGTAAAATCGCCAATAAGAATAAACATTGGGTTACCTAATATGGATGTGATCATCAACTAAAAACTTTTATTTTGTTTCAATTTGTTCATTTATATATATATAAATCGCGTGTAACGCGACAGTTTTGGGCTTAACATAGTAAACTTGTGCAACTTTGAGGCTTGATCTCTCCATGGTAATGTGACATATCAACAAAATGAAATCGTAGCTTTGTGGAGAAAGGTCTTAGCTTCAAAATCATGTTTTGTTTTTTTGGTGTTACATTTCCATTTCTGGTATACTAAAGGATATACAAGACCAATAAAAAGTTGTGGGACTAGGTGTCCTGCACTATAGTAAATAATAAATTTTAAACAGGGATAAAAATATTTAAAATAATGCCACCCTCATTTATAATTTCATGGTTGGCACACCATAAAAAATTAATTTTCTTTATCATCTTTTTCATTTAAATGAATTCTTTTAGTGATGATCTCTTTTGGAATTTTGTTAATTAAATAGAATATTTGTCTGTTTTCAAATGACATTAATTCATAAATAACTGGTTTTTTATCAACTCCCCCTCCCATTTTGGTCTTTCCAAAATATAGATGCTGGTCACAATTCTTGGTGATGGTTGCGACACCTGGTTGCAACCACCTTTGTGACCACTTTGGTTTCCTTTTTTGGATTGCGACATGGAACACTATTCCAAAAAAAATCTTCGTCTAGGAACCATATTTTTAAATAATTAATATGAAGATTATTATAGATAAATAAATTATATTTTAGATAAATTACCTACCTGTTGGTGATTTTTTTTCTCAATGCTAGATGTAGAAAAAATCCTTAAAGAGAGATTTTTTTCTTTTAGTTGATGCATGAATTGGTGAACATGTTGACTAAAAACATGCATATAAGGGGTAACATTGTGTTTTCCATATAAATTTGTGTTATAAAAAGAACATATCCAATTTTTAGAATCAATTTCAAATTCATTAATTTCTTCATCTGAATGTAGTGGTTTACGTAAAATCATGTAAAGTCTAAAAAATTCTTTCCATAGTTTTTCAATATTTTCTCCATAAGTACCAGGAACAAATTTGCAAACTGGAAAATTTTCTAAGACCTTTTTTTTATCAGGACCCATTAAGGAAGTCCAGTTCCATTGTTAGGGTTTTTATTCATGAATATCATGAACATCATTAAGGTGGTTACACACTATTAAAACAGCAAAAAATCCAGTTGACTTAGTTTTAAAAAATTCGAAATGAACTTTTATATTATACATTTCCTGTTCAATCATCCGGAAAATATAAAAAAATTTTACACGTGTCAATTGTAAGTTTAATAATAAAAAAGTGTAAAACTTACGTCG